TTTAGGTTAATGAAAAAGAAACACCTATTGTGTGTTACTCTTGGATAAAAAGGTTCCCAGGTCAGTTGTTGGAGTTTTTTGGTACTCTAAAATAGTTAAATTGCGATTAAATAAAAATTACCAACATGAGGTTAGATTTATATCTGCCATTTATTCAAATTGGTTCTCATGGATTTAAATACATAACAAAAGAGTGATAAAGAAGATGTCAATGGGATTTCATAACAAATCTACACAATCCACAATGGACAGAACGACATGTTTTTGAGGCAAAAACCAGTAAGGAAAGTTCAAAAATCGGACGGGGCCGATTATATGATACCCTTCACGACTTTGGGTATATACAAGAGATGTTAATAACTACAATATCCTGTAGATAGAACATATATAGAATCGGGCGAAATTAAATGTGTTATCCAGATAGATATTTGAACCAATTGAAAAATAAAATTACGTATGGGAGCTATATATAAACACATGGACCTAATTGAGCACCATTTGTTTTTTGTTATCACTCTATATTCAATTAAAAACCCTCTGCCAAATTTCGTGTAAATCGAACAAACATAAGCCCTTCAGGGCACCATTTACATAAAATCGAACGAAACCAGTAAGGAAAGAAGTAAAGTCGGACGGGGCCTACTATATGATACCCTTCATCACTTTGGGTATATTCAACAGATGAATTCTAACAGATGCCCGTCAGTAAAAAAGGACCAGTAAAATGACATTGGATCCATAAACATGTCGTTCTGCAACCCATACTAAATTTTTCATTTGGTCAGATATAGAGTTGCTATAGATATAGTATATATAACACACATCATTCTAGACCTAATTCATTACGCTGTGCCAAATTTCGTGCAAATCGAAAGATATATAGGGTATTCGGTGGACCATTTACATTAAATCGGACGAAAATATATATGAGAGGTATATCTAAGTCTGGACCGATTTTCAGGAAACTTAACACACATCATCCTCGACCTAATTGATTATGCTATGCCAAATTTCGTCAAATCGAAAGATATATGGGGACTTTGGTACACCATTTACATTAAATCGGACGAAAATATATATGGGAGCTATATCTAAATATGGACAGATTTTCATGAAACTTAACACACATCATTATGGACCTAATTCAGTACTATATGCCAAATTTCGTGCAAATCTAAAAATATATAGGCACTTTGGTGCACCATTTACCTTATATCGGACGAAACTATATATGGGAGCTATATCTAAATCTGAACCGATTTTCTCGAAAATTGGCACACATTATTCTGGAACTAATTCAGTACGCTGTGCCAAATTTCGTGCAAATCGAAACATATATAGGGACTTTGGTGTCCCATTTACCTAAAATCGGACGAAAATATATATGGGAGCTATATCTAAATCTGGACCGATTTTCAGGAAACTTAACACACATCTTTCTAGACCTAATTCAGTACACTGTGCAAAATTTCGTGTAAATTGAGAGATGTATAGGGACTTTGGTGCACCAATTACCCTAAATCGGACGAAACTATATATGGGAGCTATATCTAAATCTGAACCGATTTTCTCGAAAATTGGCACACATTATTCTGGAACTAATTCGGTACGCTATGCCAAATTTCGTGCAAATCGAAACATATATGGGGACTTTTTTCCCAATTTACCTTAAATCGGACGAAAATATATATGGGAGCTATATTTAAATCTGAACCGATTTTTCCCAATTTCAATAGGGTTCGTCCCTGGGCCAAATAAGTGAGCTGTGCCAAATTTCATCCAAATCGGACAATAATTGCGACCTGTACTTTGTTTACAATTTAACATGGACAGACAGACGGACGGACGGACGGACATGCGTAAATCGACTCAGAAAGTAATTCTATGCATATTCTCAAAAGGAACCACGGGTCTATATCGATTCCTTTTGCCTGTTACAAACATATGCACAAAGACATAATACCCTGTACCACAGTGTGGTGAAGGGTATAAAAATTAGGATATAACCAGTGAGCGGAGCAGTATAGTCGGACAGGGCCGACCATATGATACCCTACACAACTACCAAGAAAATCACACTTTCGGCGGTTCTATATTCTGAGCCTGGGCAATATTTCGCGATATTTGCACCCTTTTTACAGATTATAGATCAACAACTCCTATTTCTAAGTCTTGCATATTTACCAAAATTTTTTTTTTTTTTCTTGAAGATAATTTTTACGCCATAAAATAAAAAATTGGCCACTTTAGGTTTTGGTTGATTTGACCCTCGGAAAATTGACCGATCATCATCTAAACAGCCGCTCTAAGTATTTGGTCAGATCCCCTTCACCTTGTAAAATATATAATGTTCTGCATATAATAATTGCCTCTAAAGCGACTAGAAAATCTGAAAAAATTAAAGTTTTCGGTTCATTGCACCCCTGAATTAAATTTCAACTTCACCGAAAACTATAAGCGTCGTCCTTGACCATAATCGGAACTTCATATACAATTTTAAAGCGATCAGCGCGACACTTCCGTCCTCTAATGGAGTAATAGTAATAATATGCACATAGTCACCTTTACTTAATTACGTATAACTCCCGCATCGGAGTACATACAGCCATATAATTGTTATCAATTTGAAGGTCAACAACTCATCTTGGACATACTATCAAGATCTCGAGTATATGTCCTTCAGGAGCAAGTATATACGTCCCAGAAAAAAATTTTGTAATTTTTCACACAAAAGTCAGGGTCCATTTGACCTGCTAAATATTGACCGATCTTTATCAAAAAAGGCATGCTTATTCTTTGGTCGGATCCCCTTCTCCATGTAAAATTTCACGATGTTCGGACCATAACTGCGGCCTCTGGGGCGACGAGAAAAACCGACAAAAATTTAGTATTTGGTCCATTTCATCCTCTAAATATTAACCGATCTTTATCAAAAACAATAGGGGTCTTCATTGGCCAGAACCCATCCTACATGCAAAATTTCGTGAAGATTGGTCCATAACTATGGCCTGTATCGTGTTTACAAATTATAATGGACAGACGGACGGACACACATGTCTAGATCGACTCAGCTAGTCGAGATATGACGATCGGTATACTTAATGGTGGGTCTAGGACCAATATTTCGCGGCGTTACAAACTTTTGTGGCTGCACAAAGCTATAATACCCTGGCAACATAGTTGTGTAGGGTATAATAAATGCAAAATCCAAAATTCCAAATATGGAATGGGACATCAATATGGAAAATTCGTGTGTGCGCTATGTCAAAACATGGACCTACATTCATAATTTTCTCTATAGATGTATGCCAGCATCCATATACATCTGTGTCAATTTACAGTCAATTCGGAGAGAAAACGTGAATAAAACCTTCAAAATACAGAAAATGCGTGGGATTTTTTATATGCCAAACATGAATCTATATCGAAAATAATCTCGAAATATGTGTGTTTTTCGACGTTTAAAAATCCGAAATGCCAGTTTACGGCTAAATATTTAAATATGCCGAAAATGGCCAGAAACCCATTTACACACGTTTTGGTGGGGAATCACGACTAAATCCTTCAAAATATCGAATATGTAAAAGATATTGATATGGGGGCTAAATATATTTTTCAATCTCCATGAACCCAGAATGCTACATTACAGCCACTTTAATGGGAAAATGTGGCTAAAGCAGTTCCGATGATGTTTGCAAACATGCTGTTTATCCCTCCAAGAACTGTCTATATCGAAATGCTAAATTGCCTACCCCCCTGTAAAATACCGGAGGTAAGGGTTTCGTTTTTTAACCCCCAAGAACCCGAAATGGCTAATTACTTCGCATGGGTAATGCGGCAAAAACCTTCAAAATACCGAAATTGAAGCGGCACAGTTATATGAGAGCTATGGTAAAATATGTTTTATGTTCGAATTCAAGCTATACTTGATGAGGTCTGTGACGAATATTCATATTCGTATACTCAATTTATAAGAATTTTGAATTAATTTTGTGAAAGTGCAAGTATCAAAATTCGGTCGGGCATGTTGAATCCACCGTACCAGTAAAATAGTTCCGTAATGGATGAGTGTTGAGACATTGGCCTATGGCTTTAACATAAGCGAATATCGAATCTATGCATCAAAATTATAATTATTGATAACACTGAGACACAACATCGAGGTCATGACTTTGACTTTGGCGAGTATACTAAGAACCCTGAACGAAAAATTCGCCATAAGTTAAGTTTGTGAGCTTTAGCCTGAATTTTCCTTGTTTTTTATCATAGTTTGCCGCTATTCCATTTTTTTTTTTTTTTTTTTTTTTTTTGAGACAAATCGAATGTTTTCAGCCAAATCGAATGAGGAGTATTTTTGTAAAACATATTTTCTTTTTATCTCGGGACCCTGTGCATCCTTTTCGTCCTTATTTTGTTGAACTGTAATCTAAACACCACAAGATGAGCATGTTTGACCTCCGAATATTCCACAAAAAGTTCGCTCAAAACATTTGAAATCAGATCCCAAGAGGCTAGGAATCGAAATTTGCTTTGTTTTCATCGTCCTTTTTCACTTTTAGCCGATCCTTGCTCAGAAAATCTTATACCTACTCCTACGTCCTTTTTCACTTTTAGCCGATCCTTGCTCAGAAAATCTTATACCTACCCGTACGTACACTAAAAATTTCGAACAAATTGTAGGTCAAAAATGTCTAAAATAAATACATTTCTTAATGTTAAACACGTTAATAAAATTTATTCGTGGATACCGATCCGTATCGCTAAATTTTGGAACCGGATTTATGGATAATAAACCCCATTTTCAACACGATTTAAATAAACTGCCCTCGTAAATTAGTTAACCACTTTATATGCCTAGACATGCAAGCATACATACATATAATTTCCATGGTATACCGATAAATATACATAAATCTACTTTTTTGGCTTTGTTCTTAGAAATGTAATTTCCTTTCGTTATGTGTTAACATTTTTCTATTTTTATTTTCGTTATATTACAGACACATACCGACACACCACACTCAACACTTACCTATATTGGTGTCGATGAAGTTACAACACATGTGGCAGCCACTGAAATACCCACTGGACGACTGGGGGGTTTACATCAGCATGACGCACGAAAATGGCGTGAATTTTTCCTTCACTACGAACCGTTCTATCAGCAGTGTACGGGTGCAGCACAACGTCTGGTGGCAGCCTTAAATGATATACGCTTAGCCGACCTGCAAGGTCTGCCAACCAGGCGTCAATTGTATGCCCAACATCGGGCATTGAGTCGTGCCCTGATGGATTCTGAATTGCATAATTTGCGCAAGCGTAGTGCGACAACAATGGCACGTCTACAGGAATTGGCCAAAACGATCAACAGCAACAATAACAGTAGTGGCTTTTACAACAACGGCAACAACAACAACACAAATAAACTTAACAGTTATTGCAGTCTAAAGATTAAGGGAAATTTAGTTGGTAGCTATTATGGAGCTGCCAATGGTGGCGCTGGTACCCTCAATCGCAATAAGCTCATGTTTAGTACAAGCAGTAGTTATAGCTTTAATTATCAAGGCAACCAAAATAATAAAAATAACAACAACAACAATTCGATTAGTCACAATGTTGCGGGAGCACCAACAACAGCCATAACCAAATCTTACCAACCACTAACATCTTCTTCGCCATCATCAACGTCATCGTCGTTGTCCTCCTCAACTGCCACAAATCCCAAGTCCTGCATTTATACAGCCACGTCGTCCATTAACCCAACAACAACTAGTCGTTTAAGCGCCACAACTGCCAGCACCATAAGCGGCCTAATGAATTATTGCGTTGGTGGCGGTGCTAGTGGTCCATCTCAGCCCATCGCCAGTAACATCGATGTTGCAATCCGTCTCCAAAAGGTAACATTGCTGTTCAATGAAATTGATCGTGCCGCCAAGCGATTGGAACAGCTCACGGAACAACGTCGCGAACATTTGCGCGAATTAACACGGCAACGTGCTCTTGAAGATGAAATTAATGAGGTAAGTCCACCATTAAGTTGTTACAGTAGTAGGACTAGTAGTAGTTGCATTACATTGTCACACGCTGTGATGCTGGCCGGGATGATGATCAAGATGTGGTATGTCCAAATGCCAGCCGGTCCTAAAGTCTTGCACAAAATCACAGTTTGTCTTGTCATCTTAACAAAGATGATTGATCCTAAAAATTAATTTTCACTTTTTGTTTTAATAGAAAATCGATTAGTTTGAACTACTGGTGTAAGTCCATCAGAAGGTCAGTAACATTTTAAGTTTTTTTTTTTTTTTTGGTTTTTTGCATTACAATTAATTACACTGTGCAACAAAAAAATCCTTTTGGACATTAAAGCCCTTGAAGAGTAAAATTAGACCCCTGAGGGAGAAATACGCCATAGTTCAAGTTTTTGAGTTCTGGTGTGATGATTTTTTTTCGAAGGTTATTTGTCACTGTTGCAGGTTATTTCTGAAATGGCATTTTTTCAATCAAATCGAATGGCAAATGTAAAACATATCATTCATCTATCACGAGTCCTTGAGCGCATTTTTCGTCCTTATTTTCTTGATACCTCAAGGCGAGATTTTTTTGACCTACAATATCACTCATAAGAGCTATACAAAAAATCAATATTCCTATGTTTTCATCGTCCTTTACCCGACCCAAATTACAAACACTTCTGTTGGCAAATGCGATTCTCTGTCGATTTAGCCATGTCCGTCTATCTATCTGTTGATATCACGATAGAGATCGCAATATTTAACATAGAGCATTGAAATATTTAACTGGCATTGGTATTACTCCTAGGATGTTTGCATAGCTTCCATATAATGGTACCAACCAATTTTCGGTGTTTTGAAGGTTTAAATCTCTTTTTCCAACTAAAAATGCTGTAATTTGGCATTTCGGGGCTTTGATAACTGACATTTCCCTCATATGAAGCCCCCCAAATTTTCGGTACTTTAAGGCTGTTATTTTGCATTTGTGTGTTTATAAATCTGAACAGAAAATGAATATTATAGGTCCATGTTTTGACATAGAGGTATAGGTAGGTATCATTCGTTTTATTTATGGCGGTACCAAGGTATATAAATCTGTAACTACCTCCAAGTTGTAGTTCTCTAGTTCCACAGTAGTCCGACTCTACTTGCGCATTTATACCATCAGCTTGGTTTTCTCGCCGATTACTGCCAATCCCACTTTGGCATACTCCTTCTCAATTTGTTCAAAAGTGGCTATTACCGCTCGCAATGTTCGACCCATTATGTCGATGTCGTCGGCGTAGGCCAGTAACATATGCTGTTTGGTACACATAGTGCAATTTCTGTTCTCATTTGCATGTCGTATGACCTTTTCCAGCAGGATGTTAAGCAGATCACACACTCTCACCTTGTCTGAAACCTTTTTCGGTATTGAAGCGCTCCGAAAGGTCCTTTCCGACATTAACTACTGACCACTTAAAGTTATCCTACATAGCCGAATTAATTTTGCAGGAATACCGAACGCAGACATGGTTTTAAATACCTCTGAATGGATAGGGCCGTCGAATGCGGCTTTATAGTCGACGTATAGATGGAATGTGTCTATGTGTTTTTCGTGGATCTTTTCCAGCATTTGGCGCAGAGTGAAAATCTGGTCAATGGTGAATTTGCCAGGTCTGAAGCCGCATTGGTATATCCAATACACAGCACGCGATGGAAAAGAGACTTATTCCTCTATAGGTGGCACATATCGTTTTTATACCCTCCACCATAGTATGGAGGGTATATTAATTTTGTTTCTCCGTTTGTAACTCATCGAAATAATCATTTCCGACCCTATAAAGTATATATATTCTTGATCAGCGTAAAATTCTATGGCGATATAGCCATGTCCGTCTGTCCGTCTGTTGTAATCACTCTAGCGTCTAAACAAGTTAAGATATATCGCCTAAATTTTGCACAGAGTCTTCTTTTGTCTGCAGGCAGGTCAAGTTCGAAGATGGGATACATCGGTCCACGTTTAGGCATAGCTCCCATATTAGGGTACCCCCCAATTTTCCGTATTTTGGGGTTCTTGAGCGTGTTTTTCAACCGAATTCGCTGAAATTTGGTATATTGAGTTGCTATTGGGTACCCAAATTCTCTACAAAAAATTATACATATAGGTACATTTTTTCTGGTAGCCCCCATATAACGGTACCCTCTAATTTTCAGTATTTTGGGGGTTTTCATGGTAGTTTTCAACCGAATAGGCTGAAATTTAGTACTTTGAGTTCTTATTGGGTAGCAAATCTCTCCACTAAAAATTATAAATATAGGTCCATTTTTTCTGGTAGCCCCCATATAACGGTACCCCCCAAATGTCGGTATTTTGGGATTCTTGAGCTCGTTTTTTCAACCGAATTCGCTGAAATTTGGTACATTTGGTTTTTATTGGGTGCCAAATATCTCCACCAAAAATTATAAATAAAGGTCAAATTTTTCTAGTAGCCCCCATATAAGGGTATTCCCAATTTTCGCTATTTTGAGGTTCTTGAGCACGTTCTTCAACCGAATTCGCTGAAATTTGGTATTTTGAAGTCGTATATGGTAACAAATTTTCCTACAAAAAATTATTAATATGCACCCCCTTTTTGGGGTAGTCCCTATATAACCCCCTTTTTTATATTAAAATAGTTATGCAATTTGTTCCGCGTTTTGGGTTTGGTTCTAAGACTCTGTTGTAATCATATCACCTGCGGAGGATATCGAGATAAAAAACTAGAACGTACGGTTCGATAATGACCTATATATGAACTTTAACCCGTATTTAGACCTAGCCCCTGTGTGGGAGGTACCAGAAGGAGTGGACCGATATTCCCCATCTTCGAATTTGAACTAAGTTTGGAAAAAATAAGAAGATGGCCAAAGTTTGGATGAAATCAAAATTTTCTTTAACAAATTTGGTCCAAAGAAACATGGGTCTAGAACCATTCTAACCGTGTCAAAGTGTATACACCCTCATTATCCATAAAACTGAGGGTATAATTGTCCATTAAAAATTTCTGAAATTTGTTTTATACTTTACATTGTGGTTTACACAACCGGTTTGTGGAAATGTCGATATAGGTCCACTTTTTGGTATTTTCCCTATATTTTCATTTCAAGTACCTGTCAGTATATCTATGGTGGAGGGTATCCGAAGTTCGGCCCGGCCGAACTTAACGCTTTTTCACTTGTTTTTTTGTTCTTTTTTGTGCGCGAGACACAGGTTGCTGAGGTTCCAATCATTGGGCATGCATTCCTCTAGCCAAATAGTACAAATCAGCTGGTGCATTCTTCTTACCAGCATCTGACCACCAGTCTTGAATAGTTCGTCTGATAACTCATCAGCACCTGCTGCTTTATTATTATTCAGCCGATTGATTGCTATTCGAGCCTGATACCGTCATCTCTTATTGGTTCTAGGATAACTTCTTCACCGCCACAATTTGATACCACAAGATTTTCAACAAGCTCTTTTCAGATCCTCAACACGATATCTGATAAGTGTAAGGTCTATTGACGAGAGTTGTCCTCTTAAAGAAACTAAATCTACCTATGGAAAAACTCTGTACGATGTAGATGTTGGAAACGATGAAATGATGTCCGACTACTTTACAATTGAGCCGGACTATCTAAGCAGAGGAGGCAGACTACATTTCCCATATTTAATCCTCTCTGGTCTGCTGACCAAAGCCCCATAGATCCCAATAAAGTGAACTAGTTTTGTGTAACCTTATATACCAAGAAACCTGTTTTTCAAAGCTCTATCCTTAATTTTCCGATCTCTATCCAATAAACCGATATAGAATTTTGTTCTAATCAATAATTGGGTCTCCGGGGAATATTTCAAGGTTTTGCTAACGGAAAGGCAAATTTAATATACCTTATGGTGTAGGGTATATCCTTTCCCGAAGCAAAGTACCTCAGCACAATCCTGGACTGTCAACTACGATGGAAAAGGAACGTTGAGGAGCGGGCGAAGAGAGGAATGATTGCACTCTATTCATGCAAGAACTCCATTGGGAAAAACTGGGGGCTAAAACCATCGACTATACCCTGATTGTATAACACTGTGGTGAAGCCCATCTTGTCCTATGGTTCTCTTGTTTGGTGGAACTGTCTGAGCCTCAAGTCGACATCTAGTAAATTAGACAAGGTACAAAGAGCCGCCGCGATTTTAGTTACAGGAGCCAGAAGGAGTACGGCACAAGCAGCTCTGAACGCAATGCTGTACTTCAAGCCGCTGGGTCTCAGCATTAAGTGTCAGGCTGCGCGTAGCGCCCTAAGGCTGCATGAACAAAAACTCTGGCGGAACTGTACCTTTGGGCATAGTAATGTTCTTAATGAACCAGGTATAGCATTGGACCAACGCGCTAAACTAAGCGACTATATATCACCAATCCTTAGATTTGACGATGTAGATGTCGTTATTCCTAGTAGAGACGATTGGAAACGAAGTAACCCTCCTCTGGACGGTCTGGCCTTCTATACAGACGGATCCAAGATGGAAGAAGGTACTGGGGCAGGCGTCTACTGTGAAAGGTTAGGCCATGAGTTGACCTACAAGCTGGATAGTAACTGTAGTGTTTTCCAAGCTGAAATCTTCGCGATCTGGAAGGCAGCGGAATTGATAAAAAATCTGGATGCTGAGGTCGTTGAACCGGTGACTATCTTTGTGGATAGTCAAGCGGCTCTTAAATCCATCAAATCTTGTCACATCAAATCCGAAGCCGTCCTCAAGTGTAGAGCAGCTCTGGAAGAACTTAACCATAGCTATCGGTTGTGTTGGGTACCAGGACATTGTGACATCTTGGGTAATGAAAGATGTCTAGAAACTGATGGCTCAATCAAACCACCCATATGTCTTTTCTATAGGAACTTTGAGGCATTCTTTGACGAAACCTTGGTGCAACGTGTCAAGATCAATTTGGCCGACTCTGTCTACCAAAAGAACGCACTCACTATTGAACCTGAGCAAAGCTGAAATTAGAGTGATGACGGGAATCATCACTGGTCACTGCAACATCAGGACTTTTACTAGTAAATGGGATCTTGATGCAACTGATTACTGTAGACTCTGTGTTGACGAGGAGGAGACGGAGACAATTGAGTATCTCCTGTGTCATTGCCCAGTCCTGGCTTACAAGCGACACAGACTAACGGGTTCTCATTTTCTACCGAATCTCAGCTTCTTCTCAACAACCGAACCTGCTCTAATCTATATCACAATTAGAAACATAAAGTGGTTAGGAGTGGTTAGGTTCTGTCTGACTCATAGGGCCATCGACCTTCATTCACTCCTTTAATTTACTAATCTTCTCTCCCCTACAGATCTGTCGTTGGTCTCTTCTCTTCGCTGTATCTCTTCTTGTGGATGATCACAACGGACCTAACCGGTCTCAGGGTGTTGTAGTCACACATGTGACTGCACATCCCCAAACCTAACCTAGGGTATATCCCTTTGGTGAAAAAATATAAAAAACTCTATAAATTTCAATTAAAACCGAATTTGAGGAACGCCTCTATTCACTTATTGTAATCACAACTAAAACCCCTTATAAAATTGTCCGTCAACTATTGTAATTAGCCGCAAAACGAAATGCTAAATCAAATGGCAAAAACGGCAGTTATGCAAAACTACGCAATAAAAATTAATCAATATTTTTGTATTGAAAACAAAACTTATTATCGAGTACTGCCCATCGGAAACAAAAAAAAGATTCCCATGCTTTCACTTACTCTCGTACGGAGTAATAAAATGTTGTTTGTTTTAAAGATTTCTTCGAAATAGTTTTTTTAGGGTGCAAAAAAACAAAATAAGTCTGTAAAGTACAAAGCCGCACACACATGTTACTTACTTTATGCCAAGTAATCAAATTCGAACATTAATCTTAATTATGAACAGATCGATAATTTCGATTTCATATCGAATTGCTGCCAATGATGGCTGTCTTAATTTTTTTTATTTCGTTTAAAAAACATTTCCCTATGGCAATTTCAAATGTGGATGAGCGAAAAACAAAGATGAGTAGGAGATGAAAGAAGAGCAGGCACATCACATTCCCCATATGTGCAGACGGGGCTTGTAATGAAGCTGATTGAATAACAAGCGATAAGAGCTTCTTAATACAGAGCCCAAACGAACAAAAATATTACAAAGAAGAAGCACACGATGGTATTGTGATTGACAATGCTAATTAAATTTCAGCAGCAATCGTTATTTTTTTTTTTTGGTAATTTTACAAAATAATAAATAAGAAACCAAAGATAAATTCCCCCCTTGATTTTTTTTTATGGACAAATAAGTCACGCATGCCCAAATACAAATGATGTCGGTATTTTGTGCGCTAATGACTTCATTTAAAACTGACAGTTGACAGCAGTCGAATGCAATTAAAATGTGGGTTTTGTTTTTATTTTGGATTATTATTTGTGCCTGTGTTGAAATATTCAGTATCTCAATTAACATTGTTGGCCTTCCAGGCAAAGATGGGTCAAATGAAGATTAAATTGTTGGCCTTATTACGTGTTGATCGCAAACATATTTATGTTATAATGAAGGTAAGGGAATAATGTCGGACATGGACGAATATATTGTAGCATACAGGCATCTATATGTTTGACTGATTATTCTCTAATCTAACCATTTCGTCCTGCTTGGTTTTTGACAGATTTTAGAGTGTTGAGTTCTTGAAAAATATTTTTAAAATCCAAGCTCCTTTTATATCATTTATATCCTTAACCCTTTCAGTGTCAAACAAAATTTTTGTCGGAATAAAAATCCAAAATTTTGGACTTAAAATCATATAAAGGCATAGAAGCAATTTCCAGTTCGGACAGTTTCGTATTTTCAGCAAAAACAAAAACATTTGTTAACGGTACATAGGATAACCGAAAAATCGCAAAGGAAGAAAGAGAATGTCGAATATATTCGACAAAAACACCGAAAGGGTTAAAATAAATCCAAACTTATAGCTGTGCTAGTTTCTCAATATTTTTTTTTTTCAAAAAATCCACAAACTGATAGTCCCCGAAACATATATTATTTTTAACCAGTAAGAAAAGTAATAAAGTCGAACGGGGCCGACTATATGATACTCTTCACCACTTTGGGTATATTCAACAGATGAATCCTAACAGACGTCGCATTTTTTAACATGAAAATTAATCCATAAACATGTAATTCTGCAACATATACTAAGTTGATCAGATATAGGGTTCCTTCTTACAATGGGACAAACTTATGTAAATCAATCCGGATGTCCGATTGGAAAAAAACATGAGTAGTTTGGTGCACCATTCACTAAAAATCGAACGAAAATATATATAAAAGCTATATCTAAATCTAAACCGATTTCATCGAAACTTGTCACAGGTTAAGTTATACTAATTTCAGTATGTTTTGTGAATATCGGTCACATTTGGAATTCTTGGTGCATCATGATGTACTTAAAATCGGGAGAAGATGTATATAGGAGCTCTATCCAAACACACATCATTCTAGACTTAATTCATTACGCTATGCCAAATTTCGTGCAAATCGAAAGATATATATTGGTGCACCATATACATTAAATCGGAAGAAAATATGTATGAGAGCTATATCTAAATCTAGACTGATTTTGAGGAAACTTAACACACATCATTCTAGACCTATACTATACCAAATTTCGTGCAAATCGAAAGAGATATAGCTTCTTTGGTACACCATTTACATAAAATCGGACGAAAATATATGTGGGGGCTATATCTAAATCTGGATCGATTTTCACGAAAATTAGCACACATCATTCTAGACTTAATTGATTACACTATACCAAATTTCGTGCAAATCGAAAGATATACAACTTCTTTGGTACACCATTTACATTAAATCGGACGAAAATATATGTGGGGTCTATATCTAAATCTGGATCGATTTTCAGGAAACTTAACACACATCATTCCAGACCGAATTCATTACGCTATGCCAAATTTCATGCAAATCGAAAGATATACAACTTCTTTGGTACACCATTTACATTAAATCGGACGAAAATATATATGGGAGCTATATCTAAATCAGGGCCGATTTTCAGGAAACTTAACACACATCATTACAGACCGAATTCATTACGTCATGCCAAATTTCGTGCAAATCGAAAGATATATAAGGAGTTTGGTACACCATTTACCTTAAATCGGACGAAAATATATATGGGAGCTATATCTAAATCTGGACCGATTTTCAGGAAACTTAACACACATCATTCTAGACTTAGTTCATTACGCTATGCCAAATTTCGTGCAAAGCGAAAGATTTATAGGGACTTTGGTACACCATTTACATTAAATGGGACGAAAATATATATGGGAGCTATATCTAAATCAGGACCGATATTCAGGAAACTTAGCACCCATAATTCTAGAATCAATTCAGTACGCTATGCCAAATATCGGGCAAATCGAATGATATATAGGGACTTTGGTACACCATTTACATTAAATCGGACGAAAATATATGTAGGAGCTATATCTAAATCTGGACCGATTTTCAGGAAACTTAACACACATCATTCTAGACATAGTTCATTACGCTATGCCAAATTTCGTGCAAATCGAAAGATATATAGGGACTTTGGTACACCATTTACATTAAATTGGACGAAAATATATATGGGGGCTATATCAAAATCTGCACCGATTTTTTCCAATTTCAATAGGGTTCGTCCTCCCAAATAAGTGACCTATGCTAAATTTCATCCAATTCGGATCATAAATACGATCTGTACTTTGTTTACAATTTAACTTGGACAGACAGACGGACGGACATGCATAAATCGACTTAAAAAGTTATTCTGTACATATTCTCAAAAGGAACTATGTGTCTATCTCGTATCCTTTTGCCTGTTACAAACATATGCACAAAGACATAATACCCTGCAGCACAGTGTGGTGAAGGGTATAAAAATCATAACTTTCATAGTCCTTGAAAAACTATTTATTTTATAAATCCCCGCCTTGTTGCAAAATATTCTTTAATAAATCCACGCCTTGTTGTGGTCCTTGAAAAAATATTCTTTAATAAATCCACGCCTTGTTGTGGTCCTTGAAAAAATATTCTTTAATAAATCCACGCCTTGTTGTGGTCCTTGAAAAAATATTCTTTAATAAATCCACGCCTTGTTGTGGTCCTTGAAAAAATATTCTTTAATAAATCCACGCCTTGTTGTGGTCCTTGAAAAAATATTCTTTAATAAATCCACGCCTTGTTGTGGTCCTTGAAAAAATATTCTTTAATAAATCCACGCCTTGTTGTGGTCCTTGAAAAAATATTCTTTAATAAATCCACGCCTTGTTGTGGTCCTTGAAAAAATATTCTTTAATAAATCCACGCCTTGTTGTGGTCCTTGAAAAAATATTCTTTAATAAATCCACGCCTTGTTGTGGTCCTTGAAAAAATATTCTTTAATAAATCCACGCCTTGTTGTGGTCCTTGAAAAAATATTCTTTAATAAATCCACGCCTTGTTGTGGTCCTTGAAAAAATATTCTTTAATAAATCCACGCCTTGTTGTGGTCCTTGAAAAAATATTCTTTAATAAATCCACGCCTTGTTGTGGTCCTTGAAAAAATATTCTTTAATAAATCCACGCCTTGTTGTGGTCCTTGAAAAAATATTCTTTAATAAATCCACGCCTTGTTGTGGTCCTTGAAAAAATATTCATTAATAAATCCACGCCTTGTTGTGGTCCTTGAAAAAATATTCTTTAATAAATCCACGCCTTGTTGTTGTCCTTGAAAAAATATATTTTTTATTTATCTGTCATATATCAATGTACGTATGTAGGGTATAGCCACAAACAAACTTTAATTGATCATCATTTATCAAAGATTAACGCCTTGTTGTGGTCCTTGAAAAACTATTCTTTAATAAATCCACGCCTTGTTGTGGTCCTTGAAAAAATATTCTTTAATAAATCCACGCCTTGTTGTGGTCCTTGAAAAAATATTCTTTAATAAATCCACGCCTTGTTGTGGTCCTTGAAAAAATATTCTTTAATAAATCCACGCCTTGTTGTGGTCCTTGAAAAAATATTCTTTAAAAAATCCACGCCTTGTTGTGGCCCTTGAAAAAATATTCTTTAATAAATCCACGCCTTGTTGTGGTCCTTGAAAAAATATTCTTTAATAAATCCACGCCTTGTTGTGGTCCTTGAAAAAATATTCTTTAATAAATCCACGCCTTGTTGTGGTCCTTGAAAATATATTCTTTAATAAATCCACGCCTTGTTGTGGTCCTTGAAAAAATATTCTTTAATAAATCCACGCCTTGTTGTGGTCCTTGAAAATATATTCTTTAATAAATCCACGCCTTGTTATGGTCCTTGAAAATATATATATATATTTTTTATTTATCTGTCATATAGCATTGTACGTATGTAGGGTATAGCCACAAACAAACTTTAATTGATCATCATTTATCAAAGATTAACGCATTGATTTAGTGGGCGTGATTACAACTGTCACGCATTCTCAAGTATTTCTGTAATGCACTACGGGTATTTGCCAAGCCAAACTACCACACACAAACGCACAGACATTTGTTTATTGATTAGCTGAAATACATTTGCACATGCTGTTGTCCTTGTTGTCGGTATTCAGTCGCGGTACATGACTGCTGTCAAAAGGTTAATAGCACATTTGTAACTCTTCCTCAGCCAAAGAGAATTGCGTGTAAAGGTAATTACCGAGTGACTGCCAGCACCTTTTGCTGTTGCCTCCGCTAAGTTGTGTCTTCGCATTTATTAAGTTGTTTTTTGGTAGATGTACTATGCACAGTGAGTGACAAAATTGAATATATTCTAAAATGAATATGAATAAAAAATTTGAGCCGAACGGAGCTGATTTTTGTTCATTAAATAATAAAACCTCAATAGACTATTACATTATGAAATAATTCCTTGCCTCATACAGTTTACATCGTTTCACCACAATTTTGCCCTTCACTGTAGGCATATTTTCCAACATGTATGTTCACATAATTCATACATTGTCATAGCTCGCTCATAAGTATGAAATACAAATGACTTGAGATTATTATGTGATGTCGTTTGCTTCATTCAACGTTATGTGTGTTGGGAATGTAAAATGTGTTCACATAACCTCAATTCCTTACCGGCTTGGCGGCAAAACAAAACAAAAATTAACGAAGCAAATGAAATGACATCTGTAAGTGTCGATTACTATCTGATTAAAATGAAATTCATTGGAACCCATATACAGCCCTTTGCAGATGCAACCTACATACATATAAATTTGCACGACTTCTCCAAGCCAACAAATCTGATATTTCTCACGTGTGATATTTCTCAAAATACAAAAGCAAATCCTTCAAATAAATTCGACACTAATTACTGTCGTGAAAGGCTCCACATGATATTCTCATCTATTTTATATCATGGACATTCATATATGTATAACCATGGATGAAATGAAAACCAATGGTGCATTTAACCATTCATCGCCTAGCATCTCCTACTGCGTGCGTGTTGGCTGAATTGAAACGAAACGAAACGAAAC